TTCTCCTTTTGGACATTTATTTAGTTAAGGTCCTCCACGTCAAATGAAACAGTTTCGCAAGTTTAAAAAAAACAATTAGTGTGGCATGAAATAGCAACTATTCTGCTCAGAATTCTGATAACATAATTTGCAACTTTTAACTTTTGAAATATTCATTAAGATATTTCTAAGTATTTGATAAATGAAACAAATTTTGGTTATTTACTCTGTATCTATACTTAAATTACATACACACGACAAAAAAGATCATCTTCATGTAGGACCAGTGGTCTGATTTTAGACTTGTTATTTAAGGTAATGTAGAAAGGTATAAGAGAAAATGCTTAGCAGGCAGTTAAAGATACAAGACTGTAGTTCAGAAGAGAGAACAGGGTTCAAGATATAGACTTAAAGTCACTATATCATCAAAATATAAAGCTAAGGTTTACTAAGCATTTGGTAGATGCAAAGGACCATGCCCAGAGCTTTAGATACTTTCACTCACTTAATACTCACCCTACCTTCATAAGATAGGAATCATTATTGTACCCATTTTACAAATGAGAAAACTAAGCTTCAGAGAGGTTAATTAACTTGTCCAAGGTAATAAATGGTTAAGCTAGGGCACAACCAGTCTTATTTCAGAACCTAAATTTTAAATAATCTACTAGTAAACAATAATGATTGTGAATGAAATCCATCCCTTCCTCCAAAATTTGTACAGAAAGAGAACAGAAGACCAATATAATTGACAATGGAGTAAAAGTCGAAAATAACAAAAACAGAGAAGTAGTGATTAGAACAATACATAGAGAGCCAGGATCCGACAGATTTGGAGTCGTGAATGTTTTAATTAAAAGGGATCTAAGAGTTCATTAGTGTCAAAAAAAAATGAAAATCTCTTTATAATAAAAATCCAAACCCTTAGACACAGTTTGAGCAATAATCAATCTGAAGAAATTCCACTATAAAGAAATAAACACTCCGCTGAAATTTTTGTTTGTATTAAACAATCTGGTCTCTAGCTTCTATCACTTGCTGTCCTTCTCAAACATAATCTAGTTTAATCCCTGGGACAAACCAGAAGGTAGACATTATTGTTCATGTTTTATGGATAAAGAAAATGAGTGTCAGTTTAAATATTTGCTCAGTGTATCACAATTGGTAAGTGGAACCCAAGTCTGATTCCACAGTTTATAGCCTTTCCAATCTACCATACTAAAGGTCATAGAAAACATTAAAGGCAAGTTTTCTTGCCAGTGGCCTGGATGCCTTTTCCTAAATTTAAAAACTCTTATGCTTTCAAAATACGCATTTGCTTTAAATTTTTTCCCACTTAAAATTACTTGAATTTTTAATTTAAACCTTGATCATTTTCTAATTAGGTTTATTTTTAACTTAATCCAGTCTTTAAAAATATTTAAAATATATCTCATTATCTGGTTTGCTGCCTGTACCAGAGTTGTGCTAAGATTTAGCCATTTGGAAGCTTCACGGCTTTCTTCCTCGTCCTCAACAAATAAACAAATAAAATCTCTCCTTAGCAATATCATTATTGTGTGTATACCTATTATAATGGAATATACGCCTACACAATTTTACTTCTTTTTGAATGTTTTTTCTGCTCCCAAAATGTACAACCTTACTCCTGTCTGTCCAATTTATCATAGCCACTTTTAATTGTCATCAGAGTATAAAGCCATAAAAACATAAAAAACACAAAATGTGGTTTGACTTAACTGTTCTATGGCACTAAATAGTGAAAAAGAGCATGGATTTCAGAGTCAGATCTGAGTCCCAAACCTAGCTCTGACCCTGAGTGGATCACTTAAACTTCTCTGAGCCTCAGTTTCCTCAGGTATAAAATAGAATAATACCTGCTCACAGGATAATGGTAAGGATTAAATGATATCTAGTACCTAGTAACATATTGGCTGCTCAATAAAGAGCTATGGCAGTAAAAGATTTTCTATGCAAAATCATTTTTGTCCCCAGGACATCAACTTCAAAAAATGAGTATATGCAAAACATTCCTTATTTATCAACTCACTTATCATCAACTAGAATTCTGATAAGCATGTTTCTAATGCTGTCACCTAAGAGGGCACCTGCCACATTGCCCCATGTGAAATGCAATCCAGGCCTCTTTCCCAGTCTTAATCTCCAGTGCTTAATCTTAATTTTAAGCAGTGAGTCACAGATAACTTCCCTTTGGGTATGACCCTCAAGCCAGTAATTCATACACTGTCAATAGAATATGACTTTTAGATTTGGTAATGAAAAGGATGACTTTTTACCTACTTTTTCACTTTTACTCAGGTGTTCATACTCTGCATATTTACTACAATATAGTCAAAGCACTTAACCAAAGGACCAAAGTTCTGATGTCTGTGACAAATACAACTCAGAGCTACTGCTATAACTTTGTATAACTTTAAATTTCACATGGAGTTTGGTGAACCCACAAATAAGAAAATGACTTCCCAAGGAGTGTAACAAATAATTACTAGGAGAGACTACTGACTTGGAAACAAAAGCAAATTAAGTAGGAAGGTTTCTTGTATGCATTTGTGCCCAGTACATGTGAGTGTGCATGCATGTCCTATGCACGTGCAGAGATGACAGAGGAAATAGTGTGAAATTCAGTCTTATTAGTCTTATAGTATGCTGTGCTATTAAGCTGATTAAACTGCTAAGTTTCTTTACTCCAAAAAGTAGACAGGTTAACTGTTGGAAATTATATAATTATTAGATAAAATTAACAGTATCTTACAATTACATATCATTTTACAGTATACAAAGTTGTTAAATACACATTCAATTTGATATCCTGAAATAAAGAAATGGAATTCTTTTGCCCTCCCATATCCCCCCAATCAAAGACAGGGCTAAGGAACACTTGATCAGGAAAGGTCATATAAATGCATCAATCAGTTTAGCAACAAAGAATAAAGGGACAAAGGCAGGACCCTGGAGGGGGCCACAGGGACTTAGAGAAGACTAGAATATTAAATGAGGAAAGCCCAGGGGTCATAGGAGAGTTAGGCAACAGAAGGGGTAGGGTCCTGTTCACTACAGAAAAGGAAGGGCACGCAGCATACATTCCACACCCTAACATAACACGAAAAGATCATTAACTGAAGAGCTGGAGCTGAACTCTGGTTTCTCAAAACACAAGTAGATGACCACCAACAGTGGCTTCTGAATGAACTCAGAACTCAGGATTCAAAATGCATCTGGTTGCAACGAAGGGCAGAAGCAAAGGTTGAAATTTAACAAAGGTCATTTGAGGAGCTGCATTTTACATAGTGGTAGCATCCTGGGGAGCATCTATTCCATCAATCAAGTGTAATATCTTATAATTGTGGAAAAGGAGTTTCCGAGCGGGGATGAGCAATAT